AATCAACTGCTTCTCCTTCAAAATTCAGTTCCAGATTGTCTAAATTCAATTCCTTAGATCGCAAGAGAAATTGCATTTACACAGAGCGTCTAGCGCTAATCACGTGCTGGTCAATCTCATTCCAACATGAGTGGGTCTGTAATCTCTAGGTATCGCCCGGAAAGCTATTGAAGGGCACTGCTGTTTCAATAACAAAGACAGCTGAAACGAGATGAACTTAACATCTTTCTCAACCACGTGTTGCGTGAAACCTGCAGGTATACAGAACACAGAGTAGATTCAGACGAAATATTATAATGTTACAAGAAATGCATGAAATATTCATGTATCATATATCTAACAATTTCTTGTCCTCTTTTGTCAAAAGGTTTGATCAAGATGCTTTGGTCATTTTTAGTTCATTTAATACTTTCCTACTAACGTGCTGTTTAAACTTATAGGTTAATTTCGAGATCGTGATCTGGACTTGGGCTGTGAATTTGGTAACTTATTTATTATTCGTATAAAGCTACTCAAGCACAAGCACATCAGCACAAGACATCCGTAATTTTGAACTAATAGATAGGGGAAAGCTGCTAGTCAACAGCAGCTATCGTCAACTTTTCGGCTATTCTTATCTGACCGAATAGTGGAATTTGACCGTCACCATTATAACGCACCCATGGTGTCAAAGTGAGGAGTGCGATTTTTTTTGGGAACGGGGTGCAAACTCGGGATCCGTATATCCATAGTCCGGCATGCTAACAACTGAGCCATGCTCGATTCATTTACTTGAGTTTGATGTTACTAATAATATATATATATATATATATATATATTATAAAATTATTGGTACTAAAATAATTTTCTCTTACAACTTTAACAGATTTCATCCGTACCGTATTTTATTATACGTATGGATAATTTTCATCTTTTGAAATTTCTCATTACTTAAATACAACGACCTATATTCAAAATTCTAATTATTAAAAATTTTAAAGAAATTTCGTCCCAATTTATAAGTTATGATGTTGTGGGCTTTGCTGCTAAAAGACATGCCTCATTCTCCCGTGATTGACTCACCATTTGTTTGCTACATTACCGTATAACACTATTATATCACCAGTGTTGCTTTTGTTAAAAAAACAAAATGCAAAACACCTTGTTATTATTTTGATGTTTACTATTAAATTTTTGCTGTCTCTCTGCTTGTATTGTTGTAAACAATAATACTGTATCAAAGTAGCGTCTCTTTGTACGTGTGCAGTGTTGATTATTCAAACAGATGCGAATCATTACTTTTCTAGTCAGTTAAGACTAATCTTACACCTGATGATGAGCTCCTGAAAGAGTTTCAGAGACTGTAGTTAAATAAAATAACTTATTACAAAGTGAAAAAAACTACTAAATCTATTCATTTTTTATGATTTTCTAATATTTGAGTATCCATCAGAGGAACTTTCCAAGCAACTTGTATTCACATGAAAGTTTAATACTTTAGCTTATAAGGATCATGTTTTAATTTATTATTGTCTTATAAAAGATCTTTTCCTTTTTAAACCTAAGAAATAACAAAAAAAAAAAAATGTGGAGTTTCTTTTTTTTTTCTTTTTGCTAACATAACCAAGGCATAACTTTTTGTTTTAAATACAATAACAGATCTTTGAAGTGTAATGGAAGAAATATTGGTGGCAGCGCAATAAGGAAAATATTAAGTGGTAAATGTTTTACTTTAGATATTTACTACTTCATTATATTTAGACAAGCAATATAAATGTATTTACAATAAGAATGACGTATTATAAAGTATTTTGCTAAATCTGTGTCATAAGGTCCTCTGGTGTTGTGATTTATATGTTGACTATAAGTTTAACTAAACGTGTTATTGCACCATTGAGTAAAATATGGGTTTGAGTTGGACAGGTAAGAATCCGATTCGATTATTAAGAGTAACAATTACAAAAAAACGACGTTTTTTCGCACAATAATATGTAAAATTATTTAATATAACCTACAGCCAAGTAGTTTCGGTAAACATGTTACCATCATCATGGTGTCCGTGAAGTGAGTATTTAGTTCCAACTGTTGATGGGCGAGTTCGTTTTTGAAAAACAAGATCAAGAGATAAGGGAGAAAGGTAAGTCATACGTGCTAGAATATTTAAGATAAACAGGTCTTCCAGTAGGACATGTTGATTGGTCTATCATCTCTATTTATACGTAGGGGGCTGTTTTTGATTATGCAAGTTCTTTCTCTCAAGTTTCTTTTTATGTTAGTTTGTACATATCTTAAAATTTTTATATTATTTCAGTCATAAGTACCACTACAGTTTCATAAGTGTTCGGCTACGTTATAATGTTATGAGATTTAAGCTATTTAGACTAAAAATTCGTGTTATTTGTAGTCATTTTAGAATGAAAAAAGCATAATTTATATATTTTTCCTAATTTTTTTATTGAGGTTACGAAGTCGGTCATATCGAACCAACCCGTAGAGAAACACACAAGTAAAAATAACAAATAAAATATAGTTTTTATACAAAAAATGTGATAATTATCCGGAGACTATAAAGATTTCGCATGTGAAATTTGAACATGTTCTGATACATTAAAGTATTTTTAATCTTAAAATAATAATGACTTTGCATGTGGGATTGTCAGCATTCTGAAAGAAAAAGTTTACGAGAAAATCTTTAATTAAAAAAATTTATTACTTAATTTAAGTGTTTTGC